TAGAATTATCCCAAAACGGGGAAAAGAAACCCCATCAGCTTCGCCATAAATAGGGAGATTCATCATCTCTATTTTGAATGAAGGCCTAGACTTCTCAAGGGGCCAGAACCTGGCGGCAACCATTTCTTCCACAAGGTCACAGCCTCTAGAGTACCGACAAGCCAAGGCAAAGGCCTTATTGCATGCCTCTCTATGAGGTGTAATCTCTTCATTAGGAGCCACCTTCATCAACAGTTTCATTTCGGTCATTACAGAGGCAAGGGGATAATGAGTAATCTGCTTCCTGTCTTCATGGGTAGAAGTAACACCGAAGGTCTGGACATAAAATCAATGGCGCATCCAATCCTTGTCCCACTTGTTCTTTTGACAATACGAGATCTCTAGCCAGGACTCTCCCTGCTGCCTCTTCGCCATAAACGCGCAACTGCCATACTGAGCTATGAGTTCATCGTCGCCCACCTTTTTAGGCTGGCGCTAAAGCTCATAATAGGTGCAAAAGGTATCTAGATCTAGCTCCGCACCGTAGGACTCGCAAGCCCAGCAAAACTTACTCAAAGTAAGAAATCCGTTGGGGTGAGGTGGTGAATCTGGACATTAAACTCCTCAAGCACTTGACGTAGGAACTTAACAGAGGGAAGGCGAAGGCCACAGGAAAAGTAGTCCTTGAAAACAACAGCATAGTCCTTACCAGTCTCAGGTACCATCTCGCCCCGCGAAAGCTTAGCTCGGCCTTGGGGGATGCACCCATCCTTCTCGAGTTGAAGGACCATCTTTTTGGTCATCAGCGAAGGCCTAAAGTCCTAGGTCTTTCTAGCCATGGCCTCCGCTTCCTTAGCTCCAATCAAATCACCAACAGAAGCCTCAACCCCAGCAAGATCCTCCTTAAGATCCTGAGCCTCCGTGCTAACAATCATGCACTCAAAACGCGCAAACCACCCGCTGGACCTAACGACTAGAAGCTAGGAGTAGGGACCAAAGATGGTAGCCCGACGAGGAGGACTGACAGTAGGAGCCAACACTAAAAAGCAAATAGCAAAACAGGAGAAGAGTGAAGACAGCATGGCGCTAAGCAGAGGCTAAAGAAGGCAAAAAAGAGAGCTATAAAAGTAAAAAGCAACGAAAGTGATGGCTAAGTTAGCACATGAGGGGACCTCCTCCAACCCTCCCCCTTTATATAGGCGGCGAGCAGACGCCTCGCCTTCCAGGCACCAACAGTCGGGTCTGTTCACGAGCGCATCGGTTCTGGAGTCACCACGTCCAATCAGGAACTGCCATGTCACAAATCCAATAGTCAGATCTAGGCGGCCCAGGGGGGAAGATGTGCAAGGGCCTCCGTGCCTTAGAACCTGAGAATCATATTTTAAGGACAAGGCCCACCAGCATCAGACCATGCCCTCAAGGGGGAACTGTTGGGGCACGGTTACGAGCCACGGAGGCTAAGGTTCACGGCAATGGTAAGGACTAACAATTTTCCTAATTTTCATGGGCAACATACAGGGAAAAGAGATGGAGGCCCCCGATTGAGTGGCTGCTGTGGGCGAAGGCCTGTAGGCCATGGCGAAGGCTCCACTGGCACAGGCAAAGGCCACGGTCTAGGAGACGATGAGCGGAGGCCCCGACGAAGGAGTCCCAGGCAGAGGCCCTGGGACCAGGGAGAGCTCCTGCTCGGTAGTGGCGTTGGACCATGGGCCGATGGCAGGCCATCGATGGAGGCCCAACAAGCAAAGGCGGTTGAAGAAGAAGACACACAAACTGCCCCTAGCGGCTTGTACTAGCATAAGAATATTCCAAGGATGTACCATAACCGATAGGGAGTAGAATTGTAAAAAGTAGCCATAGCTAACGGTGCCCTATAAAAAGGGGGACTCAAACCCTATAATAGGGAGGTTGGTGAGCGCATTTATGAAACCCTAGTTTCGCTAGGACCTACCTTTCATTGTCTATCCACCGAGCCTCTGCCTGGGGCACCGACTGGGCAGAGGTCCCCCTTCCTCTACCTACTGGAAATCCCATTTTCCAACAGTCCTCATGCCATGTTGTTCTGCAGGAGCGGGTTGGGTTGATCTGCCCACGCCGGAGCGGGTGGCCAAGGTGGAGCCAAAGGGCGAGGCTGTCGTGAGAGCAAGGTGGGGCCACCACCCACCAAGGTAGAGCATGTCATTAGATTTGAGGTTGGCCAAGGCCTAGGGTGGAGTAGGGCAGGGCCACTGAGGTGAGGCCCGAGGCTGAGTAGGATGAGCTCAGCTCCCGGGCGATTTGAGTCTTCAAAAGCTGCAACAAAATTTGGAGGTGGAGGAGGGTTGATTGTGGATGACGTGGGTGGACGTATGACAACTTTGTGGTAGATTGTGGTGCTTGTAGGTGATGCCCGCCATGATCGAGCAATGTAGTTAGATCAGGCTGCGGTTGGGGATGCCCAAGAGCCCAACGTCATGAGTGGTTTCATTGTTGTTTAGATGTGCTCGTGCCATCGGCTCGAGAAAAGCATTAATCACTAAAGTCCAAAGTAAATTGTCATATTTAACTTTCCATAATAATTAAGGATGGCAACGGGCGGTTTCGGGTTGGATATTCGCGGGTTTCGGGTCTTGCGGGTTTGGGTTCGGGGATGATTTCTTACCCACGATTTTCGGGTTCGGGGCCCCGAAACCAATCGGGTTTGGTTTTCCACCCGTGGATATCCAATGGATATCCGAAATAAATCATTTGGAATTAAAAATCATGTTTTATAATATGCTAATAATAACTTATTTACTTATATTATTAAATTTATTCTAAGTTGACTCATGAAAATATTTATTATTTGTTGCCTCTTGTTTATACATATGAATATGTGTATATATATCATGCATATATTTATAAAAAGTCCTTATTTCTCTTACTATGTTGCCATACAAAGCGGGTTTCGGATATCCATTCGGGTTTCGGGTATCCGTGGGTTCGGTTTTGGGGACGGATTATCACCCGAATCGGTGTTCGGTGCTGTTTCGGGTTTTGGGTTTGAGTGCACAGAGACTCCACCCGATCCGAATCCATCCCGTTGCCATCCTTAATAATAATGCTATAATGCACCTCTCTATTCCGTTTATGACCTAGACTCAAAACTTGTGCTCATGTGAGTTAAGAACGACACGTGTCTAACCACGATACATAGTGTGATTCTAGGACATGTTGTTGGAACACAATCATTACATAAACCATCGAGCCTCAAGTTGTCCAGATGACACTATAATGTATATGTTTTATTGCAACGCATGAACAAGTTTGCTAGTTTTCTTGAAAAAAATTACCCACCAATAAATTCTCTAAGGGGCTATTTGGATCCCTTCATTTTGGAGAAATTGAAATCTACATAATGGATTAGACTATTTGGCTTAGAATTTGACATTCCATAACTTTTTCAAGCTCACAAATAAGCATATCTCAAATTCATAGGGTGGGAGATGGAAATAGATTCTATAGATCACTACGCTATAATGATATTCTCCAACTTATAGAACACTCTTTAACTCACTTTTCTACAACAGAAATTCAACATATAAGTATATCCCTTGTATGCCTAACAATAAATATACAAATATATTTTATATAGAACTATATTAGCTTAATTAATCTATATCTAAATTGTAATTATTAGAATGAATTCAATTCTAAAAATCTAAACGGGCCCTAATATATTATCCCCATGACTTCTAAATAAGTTGAGGAGCCATCGTCTTCCATACCAAGCAAAAATTCTGAATAAAAAATGATTTTACTTGTAGATAGGGACATTTTTTACAATAATGCTTAGACGCGCGCGTCTGTCTAGGCTTCCCAAACCGTAGAAATTTCCCCACTCGCCACCGCGTCGTCCACTCGCTCCAGCCACCGTGCGCCCCTGCCACCATCCCCTACAGTGCACCCCATCCCACGCCGCGTCACGTCCCCTGCCACACCGCGCTCCATCCCCCGCCGCGCCTCCATCCTGCACCACGTGTTTTCGCCATCCTGTGTCGGCCCGCGCTCCATCTCTCGATGCACCCCCATCCACCGCCGCGCCCCATTTGGCCTCGCCCGTCGCGGCCACGGCATACACTGCGCCACTAGGAGAAGGTTGCCGCCAGTCGGGACATTATCTCCCGTGGTCGACCGAAGACACCACGAGAGAAAAGTTGCGCCACCACTAACCCAAGCTTGTTGCCGCTACCGTAGTTCCCCACCAGGAAGGTTGTGGCAGGCATGACACACGACCTCAGCAAGAAGATGTTGCGCTGAAGCATATGTTGCAAACATATGTTTCACGTGTTTTAGGATGTATGTTCCAAGTGTTTTATTTGGATGTTGTAAAAGTAGATCTAGATGTTGCATATGTTGCAAGTGTTTTAGATGTATGTTGTAAGCGTTTCTTGAAAATATTTCATCTGTTTCGGACATATGTTGCAAGTGTTTGATCTGGATGTTACATATGTTTCACACATACGTTGCAAGTATATGTTTCAGCTGTTTTAGTCGTGCGTTGTAGCAAGTGTTTTCATGTTGCAAGTGTTTCATTCATGTTTCAAGCGTATACTCTTGATGGGACGGTCAGAGTCTACGGCGCGCATCTGCAGGCAGGGGTGCAGGCACAAGCGGTCCCCACGTGCACGAAATAGAGCGGGCGCATGCGAGAAGCGGAGGGTGGCGCGGGCGGTCCTCGCATGAAACAGAGCGGGCTTGAGTGGTCCCACGTGGGCGTGTGCGAACGAATTGTTGGCGGCATGATGTTTCCCGTGGCCGCGCATGACGGAGGAGGCGCGCACGTCTCAGCGGAAGTTCGGGCGCTAGGATCTCCAATTTCTTTACTACGTGACACATAATAAAAGGCGCAAAATTCCGGAAAATACCTTTCCACTTGTAAATTCTCCATTGGATCCCTATGACTATAAATAAATAGGAGGGCTATGTTCTGACCCAGCAAGAAGTAGCGCGTCAACATTTCGTAGAAAATCAGGGGAGGAACTGCAAAAGAACTCGGCGAAATGTCAGAAAAGGCAATGCCAGAAAAGAGTGTGAGGCCGCACAAGTTCACGTACACGTACAAACCCAGCGCGGGAAGCAGCGCAGGTGGCGGAGGCGGAGGCGGCGACGGCACAGCGGCGCCGCGGCCCGCGCCGCAACCGGAACCCTATTCTCCGCGGCCACCTTCACCGCCGCCGCCCGACGACGACGACGACGACGAGGTTTGTGCTTGTTCCAGCTTCACGCGGGTCTCTTGGGGTTCCGTGCGTTGGCAGGTTCTTGATTTCTTGAGACGCTGCGCCCAATTTCTTGGGGATTCTTTCTCCCGTTCTGATAGAAGGCGAGGGATCCTCGATTGGGTCGGTGGCAGGCTGATTTTGGTTTGAACACGTCCCCGATTTGGTTGATCATTGATGGGTTCTTGATGTCGGCTAGGAAGGAGGGTGTGTTTGGCAACTACGTGGGAGGACGTATGGGAATTAGTGGTGGGAGTTGACAGAGAGATTTAAGGTGGGAAATTGATTTTTAGTTCTAATCCCTCGTTTGGTTCGTGGAGGGAAATAAGAAAGAAATTGATGAGGTCCTGTTTGGTGCGGAGGTTTTGAATGGAAATTGACGAGAGAATTTATATCTACTTTTCTTTTATTAAGAATATAACTCCCATTGAATTCTCACCCCTCCCGTAGGGAATTGATCAGTGGGAGTTGAACTCCCCTTCCCCTTTCCACCGAAACTCCATTCCCACAAAACAAACAAAAGATTTCTAAACTCCATCTCTAAACTCTCATTCCCTACCCGAGCCGGGAAGGAAAGGGAAAGTAGGAAGAAAGGGGAAAAAGCAATGCCGGTTACTGCATGTCTAGGAGTGGTGCCACGGCAATTTCGAATGGCAGTTTCTTGCGGTCTTTTGCTAAATGCTTGTCTCATTCTGGCTGATTCTTGCCCTCTGAAGTTTTTGGTCGCTTTATTCAAAACCATCCGTTTAGATTACTGTCTGTCATAATTTGGGCTTCCTTCAGGGATTTGATCCAATTGCAGGCTGGTTTGTTTTTTTTTTTTTCTCTTGGTATTTCGTGAAAAGAAAAGTCGGTATATGTTGAGTATATTATTTGGATTCTTTTTTCTCTTGGTATCTTGTTGTACCAGAGATCATGTCGTGACTTGCATATTTTCTGGAAAGTTTTTTTTTTAGATTATGTGTCCGTCATTTGACTAGTAGTAGAATGAAATAAGTGAATTTACTGGGACTATGTCATTGTGTTCTCCCTGCTTCCATTTGGAAAACATGAATTACCTGATGATTGTAACTCACCAGGATTATGAGGGCTTCAAAGACGAAGAGCTTGACGTACTTGAAAGAAGAAGTGGATGGGGTTCTCTGTACATGAGTGATCCTCAAGTTCTTTGTATGGACTCGAGTGATCCACAAAATCCCCCTCGTTATATTGGCCGGCAAAATTGTGAGCCGCTCATCACACGGGAGTTTTTTTCACTGCGCCACAATTGGCAACAGCTGCTAGATGACAAGAAGACATACCTCCGCCCGCCAAAGAACAACCGTGTTGCCAAGGACAATTATGACAACTGCCTCTTTGTAACCCCAGAACCTCTTGAGAAGGCAATACGATGTCAGGTATAAATATTGTAGCCTCATAAGCTACTTAACTGAATTTACTTGTTTGTTCCTTAATCATGAATTGTTTCTCCTTCACAGTGAAGTTTCTTTTTTGTGCTCAATGAAATGGTCTGGCATCTGAAAATTTCATACCATCATCAACTATCATTAAGTATCCAGAAGTGTTACCATTGTTCTCTATTGAAACATCTGTGATGCCCTGATCATACCCTGTTCATTGTGTTTGTAGATAAGATTTGATAATCAATGGCAATAAATATGTGATGATGATTTGCACTAAACATTTCTTGGACTGTTTGCAGATTCCTTGAGTGCGTCCTAAGTCTTGGCTTAGATATTCCAGTCATTATTTCTTAAATATATTAAAAATAAAGCTGATGCATCTCTCGGTCAGGCTGGATGTTTCTATTCCATTATCGAGAAAATGTTACCCATAAAATAGATTTGGTCTTTCCCACTAAAACAATTCTTGTTTTTGTAATTTGGTGTCCTGGAAAAAAATTGTAAATACTGCCATGAACAGATACAATGTGCCCTGCAGTATTTGTACAATAAAAATATCATGAAAGTCAACCAGAAAGTTAAGTGTGTCTTAAACGATGTTTAATACTTGGCTACCAGAGACTTCATGGGTTCATAATGTTTACTGCAAGCACTAGCTAGCTTGCAAGCCTTTATACGCAAAGACATTTTGCCATGAGTCTTATAGCATTTTTTGTAAAAAAAAAAAAGTAAACTCGTGTGCCCCATGCCTTGCCTCAGCATGACTTATCTGGATCATTTTAAGTGAATCTTATGAATCAATTATTATGCCTATGTGATGCTAACTCTCTTACAACCATAGGTGCCACTATCTGATTTTGTTCGTGCAGCTGCAAAAAATTCTATCGTTCAGCAAAAGTTTAAGGTTTGTTTTTACCTTACAAACTTGACTCTAGAAGCACTGTCATTATTAACTGCTTTCTGCATTCCTGAAAATCATTCTTTGTGCAGATTCTTAGTGAGCATTATGTGTGCATCAGACAAATGCGAATAGATGGATCATCTTTTTACAGAGCTTTCCTTTTCTCTTACTTGGTAACTATCTCAGTTATCTTGTTCATGATGATGTTGTTGCTTTCTTCTTCTGCACAAAATCTTAACATGCTAGGCTTGTAAACAGGAAAACCTTGGGAAAATGCAAGGTAGTCAAGCTGAGGTCACTCGCTTAATGGAATGTGTGGCAAGGTCCAGAGAGAATTTCTGTCGTTTACATTGGGATAGTGCGTACTTCTCAAATCCTGAAGCATTTTTCTCAAGTGTTGTTTCTGTAAGTATTGTCCCAACTTACAAAAGCATGAATTTGTATTGTCTGATTGTTTTATCCTAAATTTTTTCCTAGTGATCAGTTCAGCCAGTTATCCACAAAATAATCCTGTGGGACATCTATTAGTTGCCTAAATAATTATTGTACCCCGTGCCTTGAATTCTAGATATTATGTAATGTATATTTGTTCAAAGGGTTTTAAGTACTGCTGGGAATGTGGCTCTGCTCTGTTTTATGGTTGGAGCTAGGGGTTTGCTGCAGCTAGAGTTGGCTTCATCTTAGTTCTGTGGGTACACATGCCTGGTCGTTCTCTTGTTCCTGTGGGGTGTATGTAACTTCATAAATGTGTTGCTCGAGAAAAAAAAATCATAAATGTGTTAGGGTGTGTTTTACTTCAAATTTCTCTTCTTAATGCAATAAAACACAACTATCCTGCACATCTGAGAAAAAAATGTAATGTGTATATCTCTGGACTTTAAGACAACGTTTTAAATAAGCAATAGTAAGGCATAATTTATAATTTTATAGAAACCTGTGCTCTCATCCCCTACATGGGAAAAGTGGGAACTTTGTTTTAAAATATTTTTTTCTCGAACACGTAGGAGATCTGCATATCATTGTATTAATAGAAGAAAAGAGAGTCATACATAGGCCCGAACCCCCCCCACACACACACCACTACATGGACACTGGATCACCGGTTAAGAAGGACAAAAGACGACCCTACAGCAGTCCATTAGACTGTTCCTCCAGCAGAGAGCAGAGAAATTCCCTTTCCTGCCAGGCTCCACCAATGAGCCTCTTCCCTAGCCAGAGCCAGAGCCATGTTAACATTTGGGGTTGCACCATTAAAAACACAATCATTTCTATGCCGCCAGATGCTCCAGGCTCCCAAAATGACTAGAGAATTCAGACCCAACCGGCCAACCTATAATCTCCACTAGCAGCACTGTCGACTTTTCTCCACCAATCATCAAAGGATTGGTCAGTAGGTTGAGGAGCAAGTGTTGCAAAACCAAAGCGCGACAGGAGGGAGAACCAAAAGTCTCTTGAAAATACACAGCCCACAAGAAGATGTTGAATATCCTCCTCCTCTTGATCACACAGAAGGCACTGATCTGGATGAGGGAGCCCCCTCTTTGCCAATCTGTCCGCTGTCCAGCATCTATTATGAGCGACCAGCCACATGAAAAATTTGCATTTGGCGGGAGCCCAGGATTTCCAGATTCTCTCATAAGGTTCAAAGAAGATTGCACCCTGAAAAAGCGCATCATAGGCGCTCTTTGCTGTATATTGTCCCGAAGTAGATAGCCTCCAGATGTGCTTATCAGGAATTTCCTCATTCAGCTCCACACCATTCAGGATGTCCCAAAGGTCAAGATACTGAAACAAGGCAGTTGTACCAATCTCACCCTGTATGTCCTCTATCCATTTTTCCTCAGTTAGTGCTTCCAACACAGTGCGTCTACTTGATCTTCTTTTAGGAACCAGTGCAAAAACCAGAGGTGCGATGTCCTGAATCCTTTTGCCATCTAACCATTTGTCCTTCCAAAAAAGTGTATTAGATCCATTCCCAACTTCAGTTATTACTGCCACAGAGATGAGGCCCGCTACCTCTGTACTGACTTTGTTTTAAAATAATAACAAGACGGAGTGCACAGACACATAGATAACATGGAGTACATGAACGAAACCAACTTAAAAACTCATGAATAATCACATATATCTGGGTCTATAGCATACTTCTTCTTTTCTCTCGAACACTATATCATATTTCTACACAGCAGTGAAAATGCACTTTACTATCTGGTATGCATTTCTTTTTTTTTTCCATTTCCCCTGCATTTTCACTATCTATTAAGATTATGTTTTATGTGTTACTTTTAAAAAATGGCATGTCATTATGCATCACTTAAGAGTATCTTTTCCTGATATTATACTTTGAAGTAATTATATTAATCACCACAAATGTCTTTATTTTCTTTCAGGAGTTTGAGAACTTGGTCAATTCAGTTGCCAATGGGTACGTTTAGCTCATTACACCAGTGATCCAATTCTTTGAATAATATTTATGTTTACAAAACATTTATTTATTTTTCCTTTCTAGGCTAAATGCTGATGAGCTTTACAAGAGAAGCCTACAGGAGATTACGTCATCCAGGAGTGAGGATACATTGTTTTTTGGGATGTGTTGTTTGTTTTTTTGTTCTCTATGTAACATTTTCTTTGGTTAGTTCTTTGTTTGCTTAGATTGCTGACAGAGGTTCATATCCGTACACATGAAGTGGACTACGAGCCAGCATTCGAGCAAACCCAAGCCCTTTTGGTTAGTGTTTCTTGCTGCTATACAGTCATTTTCAGAAATTATGCTTGATTCATTTTAAGTAGTAGATTATTTTCCTTTTATGCTGCTTTAACAATTATATTTTGTTAACGATATCCTCACTTTCCCAAGTTAGTCTTCTCTCGGCAGAAATATGCAAACCCTAGAAATAAAATATGGGCAACTTTTTTTTGGTAAATATGGAAGGACCAAGCTGACCAATACTATTTTTCCATTTACAAATAGCTCTCACTATTCTGCATTTGTGGCTTTGGTAACAGTTTTGCATAGCATCAGTGCGTCCCTTTGACGCTGAAGCCGACATGCTACAAATGAGTGCTCTATCAAATGCACTTGGCATCCCAATGCACCTGGCACTTGTGGACGGAACCATGAACAATGGGATTGCGCAAGTAAAGTGCTTTGACTTCTTTCCTCAATCAGAATCAAGAGTAAGCACAACATCAGGACCTCTCAGTTTAATCACAAGTTACTGTCTCTCAAGCGCAACTGATAAACATCCAGAGCAAGGAAGGGATGATAGCAACTCAGCCATGCCGTCTGGAAACTTACTTTCATCTGATCACATGCCTTTAGTCTCCTTACTGAGTAGGACAGGTCAATGCGACATTCTTTATCGCAAGTGAATTCCGAGTATGTGGCAGCCTCTGGTGAACAGTTCTAACCGAAACTGTTTGGGTTATAACATGGAAACCTATTGATAACGTACTCTAGTATGGGTGTTTGATTGTGCATCTGCTTCCAAAATGTATCTGGTTACACTTTTGCCCAAGACAAAAAATACTCCATTTGCTGGGATGTGGTGATGCAAGGATTTTTGTGAAATAAATTTGGACTTGGCATAAAATCTGAGGCATTGTTTCTCGTGTTGCTGGAGACTTAAGGGCACTAATACCAGTGGGAAGAACTCTTTACACTGGGAGCAATGGGATAAATCTGTTAGTTTTTTTGGTTTTTTTTCTTATGGATGTTCTTCCTGTTGCTGAAGCATGGATGGAAGATTCTTATTTGGTAAGAGCATATGAAGGACTAGTTGTTTTCTGATACAGCAAGATGTGGTTTGGATCATCCATGTTCAAGGAACAATAATACCGAAATTTGCAGCATGAAGGCATTTTTTGAGAGTCCCAGTTACTGCAGGCTCTTCTTTGGCCAGTGATTGGTAATGCTTGCTAAAAGTTGGATGCGTTCTAGAAGGAATTTAAAATTGATAATGATATGGAGTTTGTATTTTTCTTGTGAAAATCTTTGAAGACACTTGTGGAGAACTAAGATTAGCATTGACAGCAGACTTAATCAAATGAAAATGTAGTATGTGAGCAGTGATTCTTCTGGGAAAACTCATGTGGATGTGAATGGAGACTCGATCGATCTTGTGTATTGCTGCAGCTTGCATGGTACAAATAGGGTTGTTGAGTAGAAAATTTAAAGCCATCTCGGAGATTAAATTGGAAATACAGATTTACTTCAAGTGGAAGGTTATGGACATACAGCGCCCCCTACTAACATGATGCATGAATGGTTTCGTGACATTCAAACACATGCATAATAATGGAAACTTCAGCCATTTAATTTGGCTGTCTTTGGTCAGTTGCTGAACAGCGGCAGTTAATTCCAACAACAGAATTTGTCCATTATGTTCACTGTAATGTTGGTGCTAGCTTCCCGGTCACTGGAGTTGAGTGATCTGCAGAGAACAGAGACAGCAGAGGGAGGGATAGACAAATAAGAAGGTAACTTATAGAAGAAGATCAGATATGTATAAACATAATTCTTGTTTCTTCACTTAGTTTAGGTTCTCATCAGTTACTGTCTCCCTCACACTGACCAATATGGCCCTCACACAAACATGGAAGAATTACAATCACAGCATGTACCCATGCAGTGCCTTGCATTCATTTGTATGCCAGATATGCTACAGAGATGCCTGATGGCTATGCGCCTGCATGTTTTAGCTTGTGTGGCAGGCAAAAGCACTGCTTGACAACGTTGTAATCCTTCTTGGATCTGGCATTTGACAAGCACTTGAGCAGCAGCCAAAGCACTGCCGTCCTTTACCAAACTCCTATCCAAGATGTATTCTGGCAAGAGCGACATATTGCCCAGATCAGTCAGCTCAGGGATCTGAGGGAGCACTGGTGTGCACTAAGTCGAGACATTAAACACAAGGTGAATTTTGCATTTTTCTGGTAGAGCTAAGTGGTATGCTGTTAAAATCCTTGCACTTTAGTACTCCAAATGGGCCAAAGTACTTTAAAGGGAGTTTCGCACATGGTTGACGATTTACCATAATCAACCTGAAATTGATTTGGAGAACGATGCTTATCAGTTTGTATCTTCATTTTGTTCTGAACTCAACTAAGTTCATTCTTGAGATCCAAATTTAGCTGCCCATCTTATAGCAGAGTGTTAGCATCAGAACTATTGGAAAGCAGTGGAGGCATAGTCCTAAAGTTTTTTTTTTTGTTTTTGGAAGAGAAACAGGAGGGTACTGAGCCCCTAGTGCATAGTCCTAAAGTTAGAATCAGAGACATATAACACGTTACATGTTGTGTGGCCCAATGAAGTTTGATATGTGATAAATTCAGCTAGGTTCTATTTGATCCAAACAAGATGCATAGAGCATTGAGGAGTTTTTGGTTTCAATTACTAGACCAATGATTCCCCCATTGATTAGACAACAACCAAGTCCAAATGTGGAAGCCCAAGATACCGCAATACAATCTCCTCCACAGCACAAAAGCAATAGGCTTGTTGAAAAAGCGAAAAGCAAAGTTGGCAAAGGGGCAATCCAAGTAGCAGAAGAACTCCTTGTTAAGAAACTAGGAGCTGTATCCCCTAAGTCATAATCTTCAAGTATCTCTTTGAACAATTTGCCCAGCACTTTGATCATCCGCTCACCAAGGTGAGAATGGAGGCCATCCAAGCATTGTTTTTTTGAGCGTATCCAAGCATTGTTAGAGCACGGACAACACCTGTTATTGCTCTCTCACTAAGCAAAATAGGGAAGCCAGATGGTCTGAACACATCTTATTGCTCTCTCACTTGGAAAAATATGGAAATCATCAAGTGCTGTGGGGAAGGAATGCTAACAATTCAACATCGTCCAAGGTTCTATCAGTCCAGCAAGCTATCTGAACCTTTCTCATGCTCCAGCTGTGGGTGGGATGGAAGGCGTATGGGCGTTTTTTCAGACTTCAGTTTGTTTATTGACACTAGCTTTGGTAGTATGGATATGTGGCATGTGGGCCTCTCTATTGTAGTAAGTGGTGCTCAATGCTAAAGCCCTTAACAAGTTTTTGTTGTGGTTCTTTTCTAGCCTTGTTTAGTGTGTTTCTCCTAGGCAAGTTGAGTTTAGCTGGTTGGAGGCGAGCTTAGTTGTGCTTAGTGTGTTTTTCTTTTCTTTTCTTGAGCTAGTTGTGGTAGTTAATGTTGGATACTGCACCTCTATTTGTAAGGTTTTTGGGCCTAGTTTTTTCCTTAAAAGCTAGGCCATTACTCTTATTTTCTCTTCTAATAAAATTAGCCGCAAAACTTTTGCCATCCTTTAGGAGAAAAAAAAACACACTGGTTTAGCCTATAATCTGAATAATTCTTGTGAGCAAGAGCATGTGGAAATCTTGTTCCTATCAGACTTAATATTGTAAAGCAGAATATGTAGCTTGAGATATGCTTTAGGAATACCTTAGCAATTAGTGCCGTGAAGGGATGCTGGTGAGTTAAGAGGTGAATCTGTCAACAATCTCTAGGAGCATCGCATCCTTCACATTTTAGGAAAGGAATCTATGAAATCCATGGAGAGGTTTCATCAAGCACCATCAGGAACTGCTAAATAAAGACTGAAGTAACCCAGGAGACTTGCAGTGTTCATGCTTGGCCTGCTGGCAAGCAGTGCATAAACATCCGATTTGAGGGCTAGTCTTTTGTAAGTCGCCTAGATCCGAGAATGTCCACCTATTGAAGAATCATGCAGCACTGATAACACTTTAGTTCCTTATAAGACCAGAATCTAGATAATATTGTTCATTCGCTGAGGCTACTTCTTGTTCAGCAAGTAGTTCATTAGTTTGAAGCATCACTAGAATAAGAACTGAGGACTTGTAGCCATTTGGGCTGTCAAAATTGAGACACCATGGAATTCAAATGAATGATCAACTTGAGATAATTAAGGCATCAGCAACCTATTGTCAGGACTCGGTACCCTTTATCATCATGAAAGCGTTGAACATGGCCATGACAATGTGTTCAACTAATAGTGAAACTGTTATTCTTTTTTTTTCAAAACATAGTATATATGAAATTATTCTTCTCAAGAGTGAAAAAAATGTTCCATGATACCATAATGGAGCTGAGGCTCCAACGAATGAAGCAATGTACCTATATTTGTGAAATCTCTTGGCAAAAAAATTTATATATGTTGGAAGCATTTCAAAGGATTTTGCTCCTCCTAACGACAAATTATAGACTAAGCACTTCAATTTGAGATGAGATGTTTTTTTTTTGCTAGATAAATAGTTTGCATGAGGGCCTAATGTGCCATGGGAGGGCTTGGTCAAATTGTGGTGCCTACCTCCGTCCCAAAACGAAATATAATTGTAGGTTAGAGTAAGTCAAGGCTTTTTTAAGCTTAACATGGTTTATAAAGAACATTATCAATATTTGTATCTCCAAACAAGCTACTATAAAAATATATTCCTTGATAATACTTATTATGCATTATAGATATCAGTACATTGTTGTATCGGAACGCCTAGTGCCCGGACGTCCGGACGCAGCTCCATGCTCCGCCCCGTCCGCTCGGACTCGCGGCAGATCCACCCCGCCCCACTCCGTTTCACATGCCGCCCCGCCCGCTCCGTTGCACGCGCGCGGGGGCCTGTGGGACCGTCCCGCCCGGTCCTTTCCACGTGCGCACGCAGTTTCCGCTCGCTCTGTTTTGCACGCGCACGCGGGAATTTGGAAAGCAGATGTACTTTTGCAACCTCCAAGACTAGTTTTGCAATATCCAGAAGAAAACACTTGCAACATATGTTTGAAAACAAATGAAACATTTGGAACATAAATTTGCAACATACATGTGAAGCCATTGTAACACATGGAACATTCAGATCTACTTTGCAACATCCAAATAAAACAGTTGCAACATCCGTCTGGAATAGCTGAACCACTTGCAACATACATGTGTATCCATTGCAACACATGCAACATCCCTGATATACTTTTACAACATTCAAATAAAACACTTGCAACATCCATATGAAGTGGGGCGCGACAGTGAATGGAGGCGTGGCAAGGATGGGCGTGGTGTGGGGGCGTAGCAGGCGCGTTAGCTAAGGCGCAACATGGGAGGGGCGTGGGTTGGGCGGGAGGGGGCGCAGCGGCTTTCGGGGAGGCGGCGGCGTGTCTGGGGCGGGGCACCATAGTTTTTAGGCGTCGCCTAGTCATCCAGGCGGGATTCTAAGCGGGGCACCATCGCGGTCGCCGCACTCCTCGCGCCAACCCAATCCCCAGGAAAGGCGTCGCCTAGGCGTCGATTGTTGAGGCGGAGGGAGAGGAAAGGAAGGAGAGAGGAGGGTGGCGGTGGCAAAGAGCGAAGCGATCTTGCTGCGGGAAAAAAGAAGCAAGCGACACACTCCGCCAACCCAATCCCCATCACGTCAGTTGAGAGGGAGAGTGAGAGGGAAAGGAAGGAGAGAGGAGGGTGGCGGTGCACCTGGAATCCGACGCCGGCATGGCGTGATCATCCCGTCGCGGCGAAGTCCGGCCGGTCCCACGACGACCTGCTTGTGAAAGCGAGTCCGTCCGTCCGTGACTCCGATTCCACATCTCTGACAGCCAGACTCTGCTCCGTCCACCGTGACCCGCGAGCAGCCCCGCGACCGACTCCGGCCCCGTCCCCAACTGCGACTTTGCTCTGCGACCGCGCGATTGGCAGTTACGTCCTTTCCTCCTCTTTCCTCAGCTGCTCTGCGGCTCTCCTCTTGCTCCCCCTTCTTCCTCTGCTCTTCCTCCGCCTTGTTCCCATGCTTTGCTCCTTCCTGTGCTCTACTTTGCTTTCTCTGCTCTGTTTGTTTCTCTTATTTATGTGTTACAGTTAGATAGTTGTAATGGATAGCTTACAGGTGTGCTCTTCTGATGTGGTTGCCTAATTGCTGTGAATAATTAATATATGCTTGAGTGTTTGTCTCTCTAACGTCTGAACTTTGCTGCATAAGAGAGGTTAATTTATTGATCTGTGTCATTGTTATATGTGCCTCTGAGGCTCTGATTGTGAACAGCAGTATGTGTATGGCGTCGTCTCGCCGCGTGCCTAATTCGCCTAGGCGTCTGGAAGGGGGTGGAGCGCCGTACCTCGCCTTACCGCCTTAAAAACTATGGTATTTGCTCGGATAGAGGTGCATCGCGTCCGATGGAATAGAAGCCGCGTTGAGGGAAGGGGGCTGGAGGATGAGCGGAGTGGGTTTTTTTGAGAGAGATGGGAGCCGGTCCTACGTAGGTCAAGCCATGTCCGGACGGGAGTCATGGGATGGACGCCCTGGAGAATCATTATCGGGCTCTATAGACTACATGTTGCTGGAACTTAGAATTTTTTTGGAAAAAGTCTACATAACTCCCAACTATTTAGGGTGGACTACTTCAGCTCAAAACTATAAAACCAGAATTTCTACCCCCTAAACTTTTCAAAGCCGGTCAAATAACCTCCCAAGTGGTTTTGGACGGTGGTTTTGCTACGACGACGGTGGTTGTCTTTTTCTTTTTTATTTATTTCCGTTTAATCTTTGAAAAATTATAGTAAATCATAGAAAAAAACATAAAATGGAAAATAATGAAAAATCCAATTTTGTAGGTCACTGGCACCAAACAATTTCTTTACTACGCAGCACATAAACGATAACCGCAAAAGTTCCAGAAAATACCTCGCCACTTGTAAAATTCCCATTGCATCCCTCTGGCTATAAATAAACTAGGGGGCTACCCATCAAGAAGTACCGTGTCAATATTCCGTAGAAACCCAGGGGAGAAACTGCAAAAACAAACTAGCGGAATGGCAGAAAAGGCAACGCTAGAAAAGACAGTGCGGTTCAAGTTGACGTCCAACCCCAGCGCGGGAACCAGCGCAGGTGGCGGAGGCGGCGACGGCGCAGCAGCACCGGCCTCCGCACCGCGACGGGAGCCCCCTTCTTCGCCGCCGCGTTCACCGTCGCCGCCCGAACCGTTCACGTACAACTTCGGCGATGGCGGAGGCGGCGACGGCGCAGCAGCAGCACCGCCCCCCGCGCCGCAACCGAAGCCCTCTTCTTCGTTGCCGCGTTCACCGCCGCCACCCAAACCGTTCACGTACAACCCCAGCGCGCTAAGCAGCGGAGGTGGCGCCGGCGGCGGTGGGGCGGCACCGAAACTCTCTTATTCGGTGCGTTGGCAGGTTCTTGAGTTGCTGCGCTTGATTTTCTTGGGGATTCTTTCTCGCGTTCTGATAGAGGGAGAGGGATTCATCAATTGGGCTGGTTGTAGGCTAATTTTGGTTCGAACATGTTCCCGATTTGATTGGTGGGTTCTTGATTTTGGGGGAACACAGAAAAGAATGGAGGGAGGGATAAAAAAGCAATGCCGGTTCTTGAATTGTCGCGGAATCGTGTGCCACGGCAACATCGAATGGGGGTTTCTTGCGCAATGCTTATCTCGTTTAGATGACTGTCTCGTAATTTGGGTTTGCTTCAGGGATTTGATCCAATTGCAGGCTGGCTTGGTTTTCCTTTTTCCCTTGGCATTTCCTGAAAAGAAAACTCGCTCTATGTTGAGCACATTATTTGGATTCTTTTTTTGTGCGTTCTTGGTGTAAATGGACATCTCGTGATGCCAAAAAGCATGCCGTGATGTGCATATCTGCTGGAAAGTATTTTTTTAGATTATGTGGCCCTCATTTGACCAGAACAAAATAGATGGATTTACTGGGATTATGTCATTGGGTTCTCCCTGCTTCCCTCTGGAAAAATATTAATTGCCTGATGATTGTAATTCACTAGGATTCTAAGGACTCCGATGATGAAAAGCCGGACGAATTTAAAACAGAAAATGGATGGGGTTCTCTGTTCATGAGTGATCCTGAAGTTCTTTCTAAGTACTCGAGTGATCCACAAAATCTCCCTCATTATATTGGCCGGCAAGATTGTGAGCCGCTCAGCACACAGGAGTTTTTTTCACTGCGCCACAATTGGCAGCAGCTGCTAGATGGCAAGAAGACATACCTCCGTCATGCTGCCGAGTCCAATTATGCCGACTGCGTCTTTGTAACCCCAGATTCTCTTGATGAGGCACTAGGATGTCAGGTACAAATATTGTAGCCTCATAAGCTACTTAACTGAATTTACTTGTTTATTTTCCTTAATCATGAATTGTTTCTTCTTCACAGTGAATTTGTTTTTTTTATGCTCAATGAAATGGTCTGACATCTGAAATTTCATACCATCAATAACTACAATTATCACCAAGTATTCAGAAGTGTTACCATTGTAAAATGTTCTCCGTTGACACCTGTGATGCCCTGATCATACCATATTCATTGTGTTTCTAAATAATCTTTGGTAGTCCATGGCAATATAATCTGGGATGATGATATGCACTAAACTTTCGTTGGATTGTTTGAGATTGATGTATTTTGAAACTAATAAATAATGTTTGGCCTTTGTTAGCTTATATAATGCGGGATAGTTACCCCTTCCTTCAGTTGTCCTAAGCCTTGGCTTAAATACTCCAGTAATGATTTCCTAAATATATGAAAAATACGGCTAAAGCATCTCTCCATGTGGAGGCTGGATCTTTCTGTTTCATTATTATCAAAATAATGTTACTCGTAAAATAGATTTGGCCATTCTCACTAAAAAAATTCTTAATTTCGTGTGGTGGAAAAAATTGTAACTTAAATAAGCCATGAACAGATACAATTTATACAGTAAAAATATTATGAACGTCAACCAGAAAGTTCAGTGTCTTAATCGATATAGAAAGCTTGGCTACCAGAGACCTTATGGATTCATAGTGTTTACTGCAAGCACTAGTTAGCTAGCCTTTACATGCAAAGGCATTTTGTCATATGGATCTTTTAGCATTGTGGCTTCATAAGCTACTTAACTGAATTTACTTGTTTATTCCATAATCATGAATTGTTTTTGCTTCAGTGTGAAGTTTTTATTTTATTTTATTTTATTTTTTTCGTGAAACTGTTTTTATTTTTTTGTGCTCAATGCCAATTGTCTGACATCTGTAATTTCGTAGCATCATCAACTATCACTAAGTATTAATACCATTGTAAAATGTTCTCCATTGAACACCTGTGATGCCCTGATCATACCCTATCCATTGTGTTTCTAGATAAGCTTCACCCTTTAATGGCAATACAATATGTGATGATGACATACTCTAAACTTTTTTGAACTGTTTCAAGATTGATGTATTTTGAAACTGATAAATAATGACCGGGCTTTGTTAGCTTATATCATGCAGAATCAGCATCCTAAGTCTGTTGGCTTAAATATTCCAGTTATGATTTCTAAGTACATGAAAAATACAGCCGAAGCGTCTCTTGATGTCCTGGATGTTTCTGTTCCATTATCTAAGAAAAAGTTACCCCAAAAACAGATTTAGTCTTTCCCACTAAAACAATTCTTATTTCCATGCCCTGGAAAAAATGTAACTTAAATATTTCCATGAACAAATACAATGCACCATGCAGTAAACAGCAGTATTTGTACAGTAAAAAATATCACAAACGTCAACCATAAAGTTGATTGTATTTTAAAAGATGTTGAAAGCTTGGCTACCAGAGATCTTGTAACAGATTCATGATTTTGCTGCAAGCAATAGCTAATTTTGCCATATGGGTCTCAAGCATTTCCTGTAAAAAGAAGTGAACTCTTGTGCTCCAAGCCTTGCCACAGCATGACTTATCTGGATAATTTTAAGTTTTATAATCTTATGAATTACTATTATGCCTAGTGTGATGCTAACTCGTATAATCATAGGAGCCACTATCACATTTGGTTCATGGAGGTGCAGGAAAACCTATCAGGCAGCAAAAGTTCAAGGTTTGTTTGTACATTGTAAACTTGACTGTAGAAGCACTACCATTATTAAGAACTTTGTGCTTACCTGAAAATCATTCTTTGTGCAGATACTTTGTGAACATTATGTGTGCTTCAGACCAATGCGAAGGGATGGGTCGCAGTTTTACAGAGCTTTCCTTTTCTCTTACTTGGTAATGTGAACCAATATCAGTTATCTTGTTCATGACGATGTTGCTTTCTTCTTCTGCACAAAATCTTAACATGCTAGGCTTGTAATCAGGAAAACCTTGGGAAAATGCAAAGTAGTCAAGCTGAGGTCACTCGTTTAATGGAATGCGTGGCAAGGTCCAGAGTGAATTTCCGTCGTTTAAACTGGAATAATGCATACTTCTCAAATCCAGAAGCATTTTTCTCAAGTGTTGTTTCAGTAAGTATTATCACAGCTTACAAAAGCATGAATTGTATTGCCTGATCGTTTTATCCTATTTTTTTCCTAGTGATTTGGTCAGCCAGTTATGCACAAAACAATCATGTGAGACATTTTTTTTCCTTACGATTTTACGAAGAATCGTGCGGGACATCTATTAGTTGCCAAAATACTTATTGTGCCCCATGGCCTGAATAATAGAGATTATGTAATGTGTATCTGTTCAAGGAATTTTAAGTACTTCTGGGGATGAGACTCTCTGTTTTATGGCCGGGCTAGGGGTTTGCTGCTGCTTGCTTTGGCTTTTAGTTTTTTGGTATTCATGCTTGGTTGTTCTTTTGTATGTAACTTCGTAGGGTGTGTGTGTGGTGTGTTTTACTTCAAATTTCTCTTCTTAATGCAATGGAATGCTGACTCCTGCATATTCGAGGTTAAAAATGTAATGTGTACAGAATTTACAGTTCTATAGACAGTAATTTACAGTTTTATAGAAACCTGCACTCTGATTCCTTATACATGGGAAAAGAGGTAAATATGGAGTGCACAGACACATAGATGACATGGAGTATATGAACAAAACAACTTAAGAGCTCATGAGTAATCACATATATCTGAGTATGTATCATACATTCTGGTATGCATTTTTTTTTCATTTTCTTACATTTTCACATCTAAGAGATGAAATTATGGTTTATAAAATGGTACTTATCTAAAAAAAGAATGGCGCTGCAAGACCGCATTATGCATCACTTAGGAGTGTCTTTTCCAGAGATTATACTTCAAAGTAATTATATTAGTCACTGCAAATGTCTTTATGTTCTTTCAGGAGTTTGAGCACTTGGTCAATTCAGTTGCAAATGGGTATGCTTTGTTCCTTACTTCAGTGATCCAATTCTTTCAGTAATCAATTGTTGCCATAATACTTATATTTACGGAAAGTTCTATTTTATTTTTTTTCCTTTCTAGGCTAAATGCTGTTGAGCTTTACGAGATAAGCCTACAGGAAATTTCATCATCCAGGAGTGAGGATACGATGCTTTTTGCGATGTGTTGTTTGTTTATTTGTTCTCTATCTAACGTTTCTCTTTGGTTAGTTCTTTCTTTGCTTAGATTGCTGACAGAGGTTCATATCCGTACATATGAAGCGGACTACAACAGAGCAGTAGTGAGTCAGAATCAGAATGAAAAAATAAATGCCCTTTTGGTTAGTGTTTCTGGCTGCTATACCATCATCTCAGAATTTATGCTTGATTCATTTCAAGTAGTTGATTGTTTTCCTTTTATGCTTCTGTAACAATTTTATAACACTAACAATGTGCACGCTTTCCATGTTAGCCTTCTCGTGATGGAAATATGCAAACCCTATAAATGAAAATGTGGGCAACTTTTTTTGGTTAATAAGGAAGAACCAAGCTAACCAATACTATGCCATTTACAAATTGCTCTCACTATTCTGCATTTGTGGCTTTGTAACAGTTTTGCAAAGAATCTGTGCGTCCCTTTGACGCTGATGTCACCCTTTTACAAATGAAGGCTCTATCACAAGCTCTTGGTATCCCCTTGCACCTAGCAGCTGTGGACGGTGTCAAAATAGGTGGAACTGTGCAAGTAAAGTGCATTGACATCATTCCTCGATCAGGACCTCTCAGTTCAACCAGAAGATACTATCTATCCAGTGCAACTGATAAACAATCATTCTTGCCACCTGGAAACTTATTTTCGTCTGATCGCATGCCTCTAGTGACCTTATTAATAACTACCAATGCTACCGCCATTCTTTATCGCAAGTGAACAGATTCTGAGTATGCATTAGCCTCTGGTTGATGGTTCTAACAGAAAATGTTTCGGTGATAACACGGATCTCTATTGATAGTCTACTCTAGTATGGGTGTTTAATTGTGCATCTGCTTCCAAATTGTATCTGGTTACACTTCTTTGCCCAAGACAAAAAATACTCCATTTGCTGGGATGTGCTGATGCGCGCAGTTTATGAAATAAATTTGGACTTGGCATAATATGCGAGGCACTATTTCTCTTGTTGCTGGATACTTAAGGTCACTGGTCCCAGTGGGAAGAACACCTTAGGAGCTGTGGATAGATCAGTTAGCTTTTTTGGTTTACTTTTCTTATGGATGTTGTTCCCAGTTGCTTAAGCAGTTGGATGGATGATTCACATTTGGTATGAGCATATGAAGGATTAGTTTTCTGCTACAGAAATATGTGGTTTGGATCATCCATCTTCAAGGAACAATAATACCGTAGTTTGCAGCATGAAGGAATTGTTTTGTGAGTCCCTGTTACTACAGGCTTTCCTTTGGTCAGTGATTGGTAATGCTTGCTAAAAGTTGGATGTGTTCTAGAAGTTAAATCAATAATGATGCGGAGTTTGTAAAATTCTTTGAAGACACTTGTGGAGAACTAGGATTAACATTGATAGCAGACTTAATCAAATGAAAATGTAGTATGCGAGCGGTCATTCTTTTTGGATAAGAATACCACGTGACTGAATGACGTACTCGGTCAGTCTTGTGTATTGCTGCATCTTGCATAGTACAGATAGGGTTGTTGAGTAGAAGTTTTAAAGCCTGGTTGTTGAGTAGAAATTTTACAGCCATCTGGGAGATTAAGCTGGAAATACAGATTTGCTTCAAGTGGAAGGCTATGGACATACAGTGCAACCTATACTTGACATGATGGATGGTTCGTGACATTCCAACACAGACATAAAAACTGGAAATGTCTGCAATTTAATTTGCCTTTTTTTTTACTCAGTGCTGAGTAGTGGCAGTTAACCCCAATAACACAAGTTAATTTGTCCATTATGTTCACTGTAATGTTTGGTGCTGGCTTCCCGGTCATTGGAGTTGTGATCTGCAGAGAACAGAGACAGCAGAGAGGGAGGGATAGACAAATAGGAAGGTAGCTTAGAGAACAAGATCAGAAAGGTAGGAGGGTAATTCCCATTTCTCCACTTAGCTTAGGTTCTCATCAGTTATTCTCTCCCTCGCACTGACCAACACGCAGTGTATACTGACTTTGTTCCCTGGCCTCAAGTTGTATGCCAGATATGCTACAGAGGTGCTTGATGACTGTGCATGTGCCTATTGTAGCTTGTGTGGTAGGCAAAAGCACTGATTGACGACATTTGTAGTCCTTCCATATCTATCTCTGGCTGAAATGGAGTCCATTTGACAAGAACTTGAGCAACAGCAGAAGCACTGCCTTTTTACCACTCATGTGTCCTAACCAAAATGGATTCAGGCAACAGCGGCATATTGTCCAGAACTCCAGATCAGGCAGCTACAGCTCGGGGATCTCAGGGAACACTGGTGTGTACAAATGGATACAATGTAAGGTCATTAGTTGTGAGACATTAAACACAAGGTGAATCTTACATTGTTCTGGTAGAGCTAAGCAATATGCTGTTGAATCCTTGTGCTTTAGTACTCCAAATGAGCCAAAGTACTTTTGGAGGGAGCTTCTGACATGGTTGGAGCGTTTGAGCATAACCAACCTGAATTTGGTTTTGCAAAATGGTGCTTATAAGTTTGCATCTTCATTTTGTTCTGAACCCAACTCAGTTCATTCTTGAGATCAAATTTAGCTGCACTTCTTATAGCTCAGGGAACTATTGGAATGATGTACTTGAGGCATAGTCTGGAAGCATTGAACATGATCATGACAATGTGTTTGACTAATAGTGATTTTTTTTCAAAACTTAGTATATATATGAAATATATATGAAATTATTCTTCTCAAAAGTTAATAGAGCGAAAAAATTGTTCCATGATACCATAATGTAGCTGTGGCTCTAGTGAATAGACCAATGTACCTACATTTGTTAAATCTCTTGGAAAAAGCATATAGTGGAAGCATTTCAAAGGATTTTGCTCCTCCTAACTACAAATTATAGAATAAGCACTTCAATTTAAGATGAGATGTTTATTTTTTGCTAAATAAATAGTTTGAATGAGGGCCTGGGAGAGCTTGTTCAAATTGTGGTGCCTCACTCCGTCTCAAAACGAATCCTAACTATAAATTATAGAATATAAGCACTTCAATTTGAGATGAGATGATTATTTTTTGCTATATAAATAGTTTGAATTAGGGCCTGGGAGAGCTTGGTCAAATTGTGGTGCCTCACTCATCTCAAAACAAAATACTTCCTTTATTTCAAATTATAAGTTGTTTTGGCTTTTTAGTTCTTAGCTTTTACTATGTATCTAGATCCTATGGCTACATGCATAGCAAAAGCTATGAATCTAAAAAAAAAAAGCCGAAATGACTTGTAATTTGAAATGTAAAGAGTATCATCCTAGGTTAGACTAAGTTAAGCTTTTTTAAGCTTATAAACTAAGTTTATAAAGAACATTATCAACATTTGTATCCCCGAACATGGTTACTATTTCATCATATACTTATTACGCATTATAAATATTAGTACATTGTTTTATATATATTTTCAAACTTAATATGCATTGACTCTAAAAAACGAGAATGATATTTTTTTGGACGGATGAAGTAGGGCTCTACGAACTACATGTTGTTGCTCGAACTTAGAATTTCATTTTTTAAGTACTCCCTCAATTCAAATTATAAGATGTTTTCACTTTTTAGATACGTAATTTTTCTAGAGAATTGCTCTGGTACTCCTCTCTCTAAAAACTGCACACATCTCAAAGCAGCCAATTTAATAAATTAATATTTTATTATTATTTGCAACTGGGTTCCGCATGGGCCCAGCACATCCAAGCCCAGCCCTGATCCTGAGGTGAAGTCACGTTTGTCGAGGTCTCCGTCTTCGGCCGCTGTTTCCCTCGCGTCAGAACTCAAACGCGTCTGCTCCCTCCTCCGATCCCTGCAGAAGAAGCCTAGGAGCTCGCTCCTCCGGTCCCTTGCGGCGGCGGGCGGACCGAGCCAAGTGCGGCACCTCCTTCCCCCTCCTCCCCCGATCCCATTTGCTGGCAGCCGGCAAGGAGGTTTGGTGGCGCCGTCGTCGCCGGGGAGGAAAAAGAAGTCCCCGCGAGCCGCCGGGCCACCGGCCGGGAGGCGCCTCCGCACCTGTCCGCGCCCCCCTGGCGCCAACGAGCCGCCGACGCCCCTGTGAGCCGGGAGCCGCCAGATCCAGCACCGAGCAGTGAATATTTGGGCCTTGGCACTGAAGGAGGGGACATCTTCGCTAGCTCTTGTACCGCAGAGAAGAAGACACTCGTTCTGCAGATTGCTGCTGCTATCTGAAGCCTCGTGCTCTTCGCTTCACTTCTCTGCTGAGCCGTTGTCAGAATGTCCACTGCCAAATTGATGTCTGCCTTCTTGTTGGAAACATGTGTCTGCTTGTTCCTGCGTCCGTAGGTAAAGTATTGCAGGCATAGGAAACTCTCTAGCCTTGAGAGCAATGCCTTCTCAAGCCTGTACGACATCTTCTCTAACTCGGTATGGCTGTGAATGTCTCGTTTTTTGAGATTCAGATGAGAGACATTGACATTAACATTCTCATTAGAAACTAATATTCCTTGGCTTCTTGCCTGAATGGTTTCAGCAACCATGTGTTCTGACTGAGTGCAAAGCGTCGTTGGTCCTATCTGCACGGCCCACCTCCAGTGATTTTTTCCAAAGTGCTCTATGTTTAGGAGATGCAGCTCTAGTCCCTGTATGGACTTCTTGAAAAATATAGTTTATCATGATATAACAAAGAGTGGGTCAAAGAGTCTGTTTTGCTTAAGATCTGTCGAAAGAATTGGTTTAAGGCTATTGACATCTGGCAGCTATTCTTTAGTAATTATTCAGAGAAAGGTATAACTAGCTGAGTGCATGCAGCTTAACGATACGAGACTTTTCTGATATATCAGCCAATCTCAGTGTATAGCAATTTAACAATAATATTGTACCAAGAGCTGATCACCAAGTTATCATAAATTGATTACTTACTGTAATTTTTGAATCTTGCATTGCACATTTGAACCTGAAGATTTAACTAGCAATACTCTTCTACATTGCAGCAGCATCCTGTTGTAAGTACCTCAGTTGGGGACGCCTTGCATCCATGTATTTTGCAATGACCGGTATAATATTCAGAACATCGCAAACATTAATATGGTTGCCTTTGTATACAGCTGCTAGACGCTATCTTAAAGACATGCAAGCTTGTATATCTTAGTACCAAGTGAACCAACAGCTGCCTTGCTGATCTTATGCAATGCAAGTGGTAGTTGTTTCTATCTGCAATGATGGCCAGAAATCTGAAACCAGGTGCAGGACAAAAGATATTATGTACAGATGGCATTGTGCTCACGTGCTTGTTGGTCAGAGAATAGGAATACTTGTTTAGTTAGCAGCCTAGGCCATAGAATAGAATGGCCAGAAATCTGCTTGTAAAATATTTTTTTTATTTTTTCCACTTTATATTCATGATCCTGATCCACAAATTTGGAGGTGGTGTTCTAAGCAATTGTTGAGTATGTGAGTGATGAATTCCATCACAGTTAAGTGCTGAATCGCACCCTTGTTTTTTCAAGCATTGTGGACTTATGTCAAAATAGTGCATTGGTTCTCATGGACTCTACATCTCTGCCACATTTGTGTTAGGAAGCAAATTATAGACTTCTGAAACTAATTCCTTCCGGACGACAGCAAATACTTATAAACAAGTTGCAAGTTGTAAACTTTTGTGCAGCCGTTATTTAGTGTGTTCATCTTTCTGCTGACTGTTGGTTGATTTCCATTTAGATTTGTTCATGTGTATCTCTATAATTTCACTGGGGTGGTGTGCTGTCTTCAGTATCCTTGTGTGAGCGGCCAGCGGCGAGTACTTTTTCTTAGAGGATGTCCCCAAAGAGACAGCGGCGAGCACTTCACTCTTCTTATAAATTTGACACCGAATCGGACGCAGCCGCCGAACCTGCCGGCTCCCGGCTCACAGGGCACGGGCGGGCGCCTCCCCCGACTAGTGTGCCCTGCGCCGCGGGAATCTGCTGGCTGCCAGCAGATGGGATCGGAGGAGGAGGGTGACGGAGGTGCCACACTTGGCTTGGTCCGCCGCTGCTCGGGAATGGCCGCCGCAAGGGACCGGAGGAGGGAGCTCCTAGGCTTCTTCTGCAGATCGGAGGAGGGAGCAGATGCGAGGGAAACGGCGGCGTGAATACGGAGAGCCGGACAAACGTGACTTCACCTTTGGATCAGGCCTGGCCTCGGGCTGGGCTTGACGGGCTGGGCCCATGGGACCCAGTTGCAAAATAATAAAAATATTAATTCATTAAATTTATTGCTTTGAGATGTGTGCAGTCTTGAGGAGGAGTACCGGAGCAGTTTCCATTTTTCAATACATTTAAATATATACTATGTCTATCTATATAATAAAATTTAAAAATCTACATCATCTTATAATTTGAAAGAAAGGGAGTAGAAAAGAGGAAAAAATTACTTGCAGGTCACTAGCATCACACAATCTCTTTACTATGCAGCACATAAACGATATAGGCGCAAAACTTCCAGAAAATACCTCTCCTCTTGTAAATTTCCCATTGGACCCCTGTGGCTATAAATAAATAGGGGGCTATATCTTCTGAGTTCTGACCCATCAAGAAGTAGCGCGTCAACATTCCGTAGAAACCCAGGGGAGAAACTGCAAAAACAAACTTGCCCAAATGGCAGAAAAGGTAGTCCTACCTCCAAAAAAGAGAGTGCGGTTCAGGTTCACATCCAACCCCAGCGCGGGAAGCAGCGCAGGTGGCGGAGGCGGAGGCGGCGACGGCGACAGCGCAGCAGCACCGGCCCCCGCACCGCGACGTGAGCCCTCTTCTTCGCCGCCACGTTCACCGTCGCGACCCAAACAGCTCACGTACAACCCCGGCGAGGGAAGCAGCGGAGGTGGCGGGGGCGGTGGCGCGGCGGGACAGGAACTCTCTTATTCGCCGCCGCCGCTTTCACCGTCGTCCCCCGGTGACGAAGTCCCCGGCGATGCGGGACGGGAATTCTCTTATTCGCCGCCGTCGCTTTCATCGTCGTCCTCCGATGACGAGGTTAGGCTTTGTTCCAGCTTCATGCGGGTGTCTGGGGAGTTGGGGTTCGGTGCGTTGGCATGCTCTTGAGTTGCTGCGCTTGATTTCTTGGGGATTCTTTGTCGCGTTCTGATAGGGGGAGAGGGATTCCTCAATTGGGCTGGTTGTAGGCTAATTTTGGTTTGAACATGTTCCCAATTTGATTGGCGGGTTCTTGATTTTTGGGGAACACAGAAAAGAATGAAGTGACGGATAAAAAAAAAGCAATGCCGGTTCTTGAATTATCGCGGAATCGTGTGCCACGGCAACATTGAATGGGGGTTTCTTGCGAAATGCTTATCCCGTTTAGATGACTGTGTCGTTATTTGGGTTTCCTTCAGGGATTTGATCCAATTGCAGGCTGGCTTGCTTTTCTTTTTCCCTTGGCATTTCCTGAAAAGAAAACTCGCTCTATGTTGAGCACATTACTTAGATTTTTTTTCGTGCGTTCTTGGGTGTAAATGGACATCTCGTGATGCCAGAGAGCATGACGTGACGTGCATATCTTCTGGAAAGTATTTTTTTTAGATTATGTGGCCGTCAGTTGACCAGAACAAAATAGGTGGATTTATTGGGATTGTCATTGGGTTCTCCCTGCTTCCATTTGGAAAATATGAATTACCTGATGATTGTAACTCACTAGGATCCTAAGGACTCGGATGATGAAAAGCCGAACGAATTTCAAACAAAAAATGGATGGGGTTCTCTGTTCATGAGTGATCCTCAAGTTCTTTTTATGTACTCGAGTGATCCACAAAACCCCCCTCATTATATTGGCCGGCAAAATTGTGAGCCGCTCACCAGACAGAAGTTTCTTTCACTGCACCACAATTGGCAACAGCTGCTAGATGGCAAGAAGACATACCTCCGTCCTCCAAAGAACAGCCGTGTTGCCAAGGACAATTATGACGACAGCATCTTTGTAACCCCAGAACCTCCTGAGTTGGCACTACATCGTCAGGTATAAATATTGTAGCCTCATAAGCTACTTAACTGAATTTACTTGTTTATTCCTTAGTCATGAATTGTTTCTCCTTCATAGGGAAGTTGCTTTTTTTTGGGTGCTCAATGAAATGGTTTGACATCTGTAATTTCGTACCATCATCAATTATCACTAAGTATTTATACCATTGTAAAATTTTCTCCATTGAACACCTGTGATGCTCTGATCATACCCTGTCCATTGTGTTTCTAGATAAGCTTTGCTCTTTAATGGCAATAAAATATGTGATGATGATATACACTAAACTTTCTTTGAACTGTTTGAAGATTGATGTATTTTGAAACTGATAGATAATGTCTGGGCTTTGTTAGCTTATATCATAGAGAATCAACATGGATAGTTACCCATTCCTTGAGTGTGTCCTAAGTCTTTTGGCTTAAATAGTCCAGTTATGATTTCTTAAATACATGAAGGATACGGTCGAAGCGTCTCTCGCTGTCCTGGATGTTTCTGTTCCATGATCTAAAAAAAAATGCTACCCCAAAAACAGATTTAGTCTTTCCCCCTAAAACAATTCTTATTTTCATGTCCTGGAAAAAATGTAACTTAAATATTGCCATCAACAGATACAATGCGCCATGCAGTAAACAGAAGTGTTTGTACAGTAAAAGTATCACGAATGTCAACCGTAAGTTCAGTGTGTTTTAAACGATGTTGAAAGCTTGGCTAGTTGGCTACCAGAGATCTTACAGATTCATGATTTTGCTGCAAGCAATAGCTAGCTAGCCTTTACGTGCAAAGGCATTTTGTCATATGGTTCTCAAGCATTTCCTGTAAAAAGAAGTGAACTCTTGTGCTCCAAGCATTGCCTCAGCATGACTTATCTGGATAATTCTAAGTTTTATAATCTTATGAATTAACTATTATGCCTAGTGCGATGCTAACTTTTACAATCATAGGGGCCACTATCGTATTTGGTTGGAGCAGCTGCTGAAATACCTACCGCCCAGCAGCAGTACAAGGTTTGTTTGTACACTGTAAATTTGACTCTAGAAGCACTGCCATTATTAAGAGCTTTGTGCATACCTGAAAATCATTCTTTGTGCAGATACTTAGTGAACATTATGTGTGCTTCAGACCAATGCGAAGCGATGGGTCACAGTTTTACAGAGCTTTCCTTTTCTCTTACTTGGTAACGATCTCAGTTATCTTGTTCATGATGATGTTGTTGCTTTCATCTTCTGCACAAAATCTTAACATGCTAGTGTTGTAATCAGGAAAACCTTGGGAAAATGCAATGTAGTCAAGCTGAGGTCACTCGCTTAATGGAATGCGTGGCAAGGTCCAGAGAGAATTTCTGTCGTTTACAATGGAATAATGCGTACTTCTCAAATCCGGAAGCATTTTTCTCAAGTGTTGTTTCTGTAAGTATTATTCCAGCTTGCAAAAGCATGAATTTGTATTGCCTGATCGTTTTATCCTAATTTTTTCCTAGTAATTTGTTCAGTCGGCTATGCACAAAACAATCATGCAGGACTTCTTGTTCCTTGCGAAGAATCATGCGGAACATCTATTAGTTGCCAAAATACTTATTGTGCCCCATGGCCTGAATCATAGAGATTACGTAATGTGTATTTGTTCAAGGAATCTTAAGTACTTCTGGGGATAAGACTCTCTCTTTTATGGCCGGGGCTAGGGGTTTTCTGCTGCTTGCTTTGGCTTCATCGTAGTTTTCTGGTATTCGTTTTTTATTGTTCTTTTGTTCCAGTGGGGTGTGTGTAACTTCATAGGTTGTGTGTTTTAATACAAATTTCTCTTCTTAATGCAATGGTACACTGACTCTCCTGCATATTAAAAATGTAATGTGTACAGAATTTACAGTTCTATAGAGACAGTAAAAACAGTAGTACAGCATAATTTACAGTAGTACGGTATAATTTACATTTTGCAGTTATAGAAACATGTGCTCTCATTCCCTATACATGGGGAAATGAGGTAACTTTGTTTTAAAACAATAACAAGATGGAGTGCACAGACACATATATGATATGGAGTACATGAACAAAACAACTTAAGAGCTCATGAGTAATCACATATATCACATTCATACTTCTGCACTAAAAACTCCACTTTACTATCTGGTATGCATTTTTTTCCATCTTTCTTGCATCTTCACATCTAAGAGATAAATGGTTTATGAAATGGTACTTTTTTTTATATAAAAAAGAATGGCACTGAATACCTCATTATGCATCACTTAGGAGTGTCTTTTCCTGAGATTATACTTCAAAGTAATTATATTAATCACTACAAATGTCTTTATGTTCTTTCAGGAGTTTGAGCACTTGGTCAATTCAGTTGCAAATGGGTATGTTTAGTTCCTTACTTCAGTGATCCAATTCTTTCAGTAATCAATTCTTTCCATTACACTTATGTTTATGGAAAATTCTATTTTTTTTTTCCTTTCTAGGCTAAATTCTGATGAGCTTTACGCGATAAGCCTACAGGAGATTTCGTCATCTAGGAGTGAGGATACGATGCTTTTTGGGATGTGTTGTTTGTTTATTTGTTCTCTATTTAACATTTTTCTTTGGTTAGTTCTTTCTTTGCTCAGATTGCTGACAGAGGTTCATATCCGTACACATGAAGCGGACTACAACAGATTATTGAGTATACCATCATTTCAAGTAATTGATTGTTTTCCTTTTATGCTTCTGTAACAATTATATATCATTAACGATGTGCTTGCTTTCCAAGTTAGCCTTCTCTCAATGGAAATATGCAAACCGTAGAAATGAAATGCAGGCAACTTTTTTTGGTTAATAAGGAAGAACCAAGCTAACCAATACTATGCCATTTACAAATTGCTCTTACCATTCTGCACTTGTGGCTTTGTAACAGTTTTGCATACAATATGTGCGTCCATTTGGCGCTGGCATCGAAATTCTACAAACAAGGGCTCTATCACAGGCTCTTGGCATCCCAGTGCACGTAGCATTTGTGGACGGTGCTATGAAAGATGGAACTGTGCAAGTGCAGTGCCTTGACTTCGTTCCTCAATCAGAATCAGGAGTAAGCAGAACATCAGGATCTCTCAGTTCAATCAGACAGTACTATCTATCCAGTGCAACTGATAAACAGCCAGTCTTGCCAGCTGGAAACTTATTTTCGTCTGATCGCATGCCTCTAGTGACCATATTCATGACGGCTGGCCACACTATTGCCATTCTTTATCGCAAGTGAACAGATTCGGAGTATGCGGCAGCCTCTGGTTGATGGTTCTAACAGGAACTGTTTGGGTGATAACATGGATCTCTATTGATAGTCTACTCTAGTGTTGGTGTTTGATTGTGCATCTGCTTCCAAATTGTATCTGGTTACACTTTGTTGCCCAAGACAAAAAAATACTCCATTTGCTGGGATGTGCTCATGCACACAGTTTATGAAATAAATTTGGACTTGGCATAACATGCGAGGCACTGTTTCTCTTATTGCTGGATACTTAAGCGCACTGGAACCAGTGGGAAGAACACCTTACACTAGGAGCAGTGGAATAGATCAGTTAGCTGTTTTGGTTTACTTTTGTTATGGATGTTCCCAGTTGCTTAAGCAGTTGGATGGATGATTCACATTTGGTAAGAGCATATGAAGGACTAGTTGTTTTCTGATACAGCAATATGTGGATTGGATCGTACATCTTCAAGGAACAATAATACTGTAATTTGCAGCATGAAGGAATTGTTTTGTGAGTCCCTGTTGCTGCAGGTTTTCCTTTGGTCATTGATTGGTAGTGCTTGCTAAAAGTTGGATGTGTTCTAGAAGTAACTTTAAATCGATAATGATGTGGAGTTTGTAAAATTCTTTGAAGAGACTTCTTGTAGAGAACTAGGATTAACATTGACAGCAGACTTAATCAAATGAAAATGTAGTACACGAGCAGTCATTCTTTTGGAATAAGAATACCCATGTGACTGAATGGCGTACTCGATCAGTCTTGTGTATTGCTGCAGCTTGCATAGTACAAATAGGGTTGTTGAGTAGAAGTTTTCAAGCCTGGTTGTTGAGTAGAAATTTTACAGCCATCTGGGAGATTAAACTGGAAATACAGATTTGCTTCAAGTGGAAGGCTATGGACATACATCGCCACCTTTACTTGACATGATGAGTGGTTCATGACATTCCAACACAGATATAAAAAATGGAAACCTCTGCAATCCAATTTGGCTATTTTTGGCTCATTGCTGAACAGCGGCAGTTAATCCCAACAGCACACGTTAATTTGTCCATTATGTTCACTGTAATGTTTGGTGCTGGCTTCCCGGTCATTGGAGTTGTGATCTGCAGAGAACAGATACAGCAGAGAGGGAGGGATAGACAAATAGGAAGGTAGCTTAGAGAACAAGATCAGATAGGTAGGAGAATAATTCTCATTCTCCATTTGGCTTAGGTTCTAATCAGTTATCCTCTCCCTCACACTGACCAACACGTAGTGTATGCTGACTTTGTTTCCCAGCCTCAAGTTGTATGCCAGATATGCTACAGAGGTGCCTGATGACTGTGCACGTGCCTGTTGTAGCTTGTGTGGTAGGGAACTGCTTAACGACATTTGTAGTCCTTCCATCAGCCTGTTCGGGAGGCCGTAAACGATTGTGGATTATTTACTGCTGGCTGGTTTGGTGTGAGAAAAAAGCACTGTTCCGGCTGAAAATTTACGATCGTTTACGACCAAGCGAACAGGCTGCATATCTCTCTCTGGCTGAAATGGAGTCCATTTGACAAGCATTTGAGCAGCAGCAGAAGCACTGCCTTTTTACCAGTCCTGTGTCCTAACCAAAATGGATTCTGGCAACAACGGCATATTGTCCAGAATCAGTGACGAAGCTAGAAAAAAATTTAGGAGGGGTTGAACAAAAGAATAGAGGCTTTTTTATCTTTTCTTAACCTTAGCCCCTCCTACCTAATACATATATGCATAAAATTTCAAGGGATGGCTTAGAGGGGCTCCACGTGCCCAGGATCGGTACGGGGGCTAGAGCCCCCCTAGCCCCACCGCTGCCTCCGTCACTGTCCAGAACTCTAGATCAGGCAGCTCAGGGATCTCAGGGAACACTGGTGTGTATAAATGGGTATAATGTAAGGTCATTATTTGTGACTTGTGAGGCATTAAACACAAGGTGAATCTTGCATTGTTCTGGTAGAGCTAAGCAATATGTTGTTGAATCCTTGCAGTTTAGTACTCCTAAAATTGGGGTTAGGTAGGAGGAGAAAGCTTCCAAAGCCATGTTCTGAAAAGCTTTCTTCCAACCCATGTACCGTGACGCCGGCCAGAGCACGTCCACTGCCCTGCACAGCCCCAAAGAAGAAGAGCAGAATCCCTAGGTCTTCTAAAATTGGGGGAAAATGCGAGATCAATGTAGGGGTGTCGAACAGAGGAGGAACTGAGGTAACTGCAGTACCAGCGAAGGAAGCTTGGGTTGGAAGGAAGCTTTCTCAGATGAGAAATCGATTCCAATGGAGGTGGCAGCACATTTTCTGTCTAGTTCAGGGTTCCTATAGGAAAAGGTACTAAGGCAGTGCGGGGAGGTAAATAAAAACGTGTCAAAAGAAGTCATGTTCGCTTCGTTGAATGACTGATTTGTTATGAGAGAAAAATATTATACCATAGTTGATAAGCCAGGCTGATAAGTTCAAGCAAATAGGGCCTCTATACGCCGCACATATGGTATCCAACGATACACGATCTAAGTTTGCATGTTTCCACCTATTACTGAGTTTGCACTAGATATTTTCCCCTCCAAATGAGCCAAAGTACTTTAAAGGGTGTTTCGGGCATGGTTGATGATTGAGCATAACCAACCTGAAATTTGTTGGAGAATGATGCTTATAAGTTTGCATCTTCATTTTGTTCTGAACCCAACTCAGTTCTTTCTTGAGATGAAGATTTAGCCGCCCTTCCTAGAGCAGTGTTAGCATCAGAACTATTGGACTAATGCAGTTGAGGCATAGTCCTAACGTTAGAATCAGTGCCATATAACACGTTAAATGGTGTGCGGCCTGATGAAGTTTGATATGTGATAAACTCAGCTAGGTTCCACTTGAGCCAAACAAAGCATGCAAAATTCAAGAAGAAACTTCTCCGGACAGTGATTCAGCCTAGGATTAATAAGCTGGATTTAGATGCAATCTAATATCCAACAATCCGAATAATTCTTGCACGAAAGAGCGTGTGAAAAATCTTGTCTACATCAGACTTTTAAATACCGTTCGTTTCGCTGAAAAAATAAACTAAAATACTGTTCCAGTAGCAGTCAGTGAAGGGATGCTGTAGAGCTAAGAGAAGAGCACGCTTTGTGAATCCGTTCAACAGTCTCTACAAATAGAGCGGTGCCGTAGCAAACCTGCTTTCTTCCTCGAGCGGCAATCATCAGATCCAGCCGGCCCCCCTCCCTGCCACCTCCGGCGAGCTCGCCGGAGCGGGCTGGGAGTGGGGGGGCCCTCTAGTAGATAGTTCCTAGTATCTAGTAGTTGCCGTATGAGTGTCTCCCTCGTGAGGAAGTCCTGTCTTGGAGCAGCAGCTGCCGTCGCCATCGTCGTGCTCTTCCTCGATGCCGACGACGTGCTTCCAAGGTTAGTGGAAATAAAATAAATTCGATCTTCTGCTATGCGGATCTCCTCTTCTCCATCTCCGTTTCCACCTCCACCTGTCATCGCCGAGATCCGCTTCCCTCCCTTCCGCAACCTTCGCCGCCCGCTTTCTTCGCAACACAGCAGCCTACGGTCCTGCTCCCTTCTACAGCAAGGCAGCTCCTCTTCCGGCTTTGGTCCGACAGCTCCGCCTCCACCTGGGATCCTGGTTTGAGCTTCCTCTTCAACCTCTGGCGACGGCATCAACAGCATCCTTCGGTCGCTACTGTGCTGCTCCTCCGTTGGCTCAACGGATCCGCTTTTAACCGACGCTTTGCGTGGTCAGTCCATAAGGGTGCATGCGTCTACGACGCCCCTGCGGCCCCCCGCCGGCGGATTCGTCTTCACCATCGCCGTCGACGTTGCTGCCTTCCCTTGCAGATGCAGGGCTTCATTGTATTTTCGTCTTCTTTGGAGGACGTCTTTGTAATATGGCTGTTGTGATAATATAAACTATGTGATGTTGTCAAAAAAAAAAACAATCTCTAGAAATAGCATTACATCCATCACATTTAGGAAAGGCCCCTGTGAAATCCATGGGGAGGTTTCGTCAAGCACCATGCATCAGGTACTGGCAAATAAAGGCTAAAGCAACCCAGGAGACTTGCAGTGTTCCTGCTTGGCGTGCTGGTAAGTGGTGCAGAAACATCAGATGTTGAGATAGGTTAGTCTTCGCTAAGTTGCCTAGATCTGAATGTTAGCACCTGTTCGCTCAGATCGTTTCTGTCGCTTATAAGCTAGCTGATGCTGTTTTGTTGTGAGAGAAAAGCAATATATCATGACCGATAAGCATGGCTGATACGATCAAGCGAACAAGGTGTTTGTACGTGAGAACCATGTAACACTGATAAAACTTTAGCTCCAGGGACTGCTTGTTCAGCAAGAGTACTGTGTAGTTTGAACTTTTGAAGCATTAGTGGAATAAGAATATAATTGAGGACTTATTGAAGCCATTTGGGCTGTCAAAACTGAGACAGCGTGTAGTACAATAGTTACAACTTTTTTTTTGAGTTCTAGGGACATACACCACAGTCCATTCTATCGTATTACACAGGAACAAAGATTAACATTTACAGTTCCAAGATTTCTCAAGCCGAAAGTAAAACTAATAAGAAAGCCAAAGTCAGACACAGCTACTCAGCACATACAACTAAGGGCCTGTTTAGTTCCCAAAAAATTTTGCGCAGTATCCATCACATCGAATCTTGCGGTACATGCATGGAGTACTAAATGTAGACGAAAAAAAAACTAATTACACAGTTGGATGAGAAATCGCGAGACGAAACTTTCGAACCTAATTAGTCCATAATTAGACACTAATTGTCAAATACAAACGAAAGTGCTACAGTAACCAAAACCTAAAAAATTTTGCATCTAAACGCGCCCTAACATACTAAAGGATATGGATAGCCAGACTCGCAAAGCCATCTGGCTTGTTTCGGCTGGATTGGCTTATAAGCCATGGCTGAAAGTACTTCTGACTGTTTTAGTGTGAGAAAAAAACACTGTTGGCTGGCTAATAATCCAAGGCTTATAAGCCAGATAAGCCAGATACAGGCCGCCGAACATGCTGGCCTGGGAGCAGCTGAGAGCGCCAGTTTCAGTGGCTTCCGGTCCCCAGATCAGGAGTATATGGAGCTTCTCTATTGCAAGATCAACACACCCTTACTCTAATGTACCTTCCAGACTGCAGTCGTAGTCAGCAAGGTTTGTTCATCATCAATTTTCAGACGTGTCAGGCTTGACAGCCACTGTACCCCAAGCTTCATTACCAGTGTACCATTTTGTAAGCTACTAATCTGACTTCAGATATTTCTTCAATTTGTTGTGGCTACATGCCTTGTAAGTGGTAACCTGGTCAGCTGGTTCTTATAAATAAATTTGATCCGGTTATTCTGCTAATCACAGCTCAGATTATTTACTCATGTTCTTTGGTCTGTACATTCTATCTACTACATGATTATAATCAGAGTTTGAGATATGAGCTGCAAAATTCTGAACACAATTTTCCTTTTATCTGGAAGCCGAAGATGTACATGGTTATAATCAGAGTTTGAGATCAGAGTGAGGATTCACATGCAGCGGAAATGTAAAGTTCCTGGGGCCAAAGACGCAGAGCATTCATACAAGTGAACGGGACTAAAATGGTCAAACAAAAAACCAGTACTCTCCTCAAATCTGAAATCCTCTTCAATTCGCTATGCTCGATTCATATACTGCCCAGTTCTTGAATCAACCAGAATATCATCGCCTACGTTCACAAAAGAGGGCACAGTGACAACAGCTCCAGTTTCCAGGGTTGCAGGCTTTGTTCCTCCTACAAAATACAGTAACAGTATGATCCCAGTACAAGTGATTAATTTGTTTAGCAACATGCATGTTTAACCAATTGCAGGTACTTACAACAGAAGCATACTATATTTTAAGAGAGCTTTGTACCTTGCGCACTATCACTTGCCCCTGGGTCAGTATCAGTTACAGTCAGCCTCACAATGATTGGGAGCTCGAAATCAATGATCTACAAAATTATCACAATCAGTGTCCAGTATTTATTTGCTGTGTAAGAAAACTATTCGCCCTGAATTTATAGGAAATTATTAGAATTTTAATTCATTAAAGAATTGAATAGCAAAGAATCTGAAAAACAAAACTAGGAAATACCTTCCCATTCCAGTACAACAAAGCCATTTTTGCTTGTCACCGACATCTGCTTCATTTAACCGACTTTCTTCAAATTTTGTCTAGACGGAGAAATTAAGAAGAGCATTGTAAGACAGAAAAAATCATGGAATTGTTTACCTATATCAGGATCCTAATTCCTAAGTTCAAATTTCTCCACGAATTCAGAAAGTGTCTAGTTTACGTCCAGATATCAAGCTTTCTGGGAAAACAAAAACAGAATATATTTTTATTTTCTGAAAAAGGAAACTGGAAGTGGCTATTGCGGTGGTGGTGGAAACTGAAAGTTTTCTGGTTCTTTTCCTTCATTAATTTTTTTTTACATTACAACTCTGAGTTGCCATTGATAAAACAAATGATGCTGAATTCCTTCAACAATTCCTATACAAGCCAATTTGCACTGTGTTTTGAAGCAAGTATAATGCTACAAAAGGTGATCTAAGAAACGGGTGCCTCAGGGTGTTGAAGTGGGACCATGGTAAAATACAAAAAACATAAAGTATGATTGTTTATATTGACAATAATTTTGACTAATTACCAGATCCATGAACATGAACTGGGCGCCATCCTTGTATGTAAATTGCTTGGTCTCCTTTGAAAGGGATGGTTCCTGGAGCTGAAAGTTTCAATGAAGAAGTGGCTATTAGTCGTTGCATAACTGAAAGGGGATATACAGTGAACATAAAACATATATTGGTGAAGCAAAGGCAATCCACCATAGGCCAATGATACGTCATACATAAATCATCAGAGAAAATAACAAGAAAAGCAAGAGTTTCACTAACTAAGCTACATCGTGTACAAGTAATTTGTTGCAAGAAAAAAAAACTTTTACTACTAGAACAGGCACAGAGCGGGGAAGGGAAAAAGAACAAGTGCTGAATATTTTCAGATTCAGAAGATGTGAGTTAGAGGTGTGATCACCGTACTTCCAGCCCGGAAGGTTTTCTCAACTGTGTTGCCGGTTACATAGTTGCGCATTTTTGTCCTGACAAAAGCAGCGCCTTTTCCAGGCTTGACATGGAGAAACTCTGTTGTTGGATGGAGAGGAGAAATTTATTGGCGTATTTTGCATAACAATGATGTACATTTTGTGCAGTGACTTCCTTTTATTTTTTCAATAAAGACTAGAGCTAAGCAAATACTCGTAAATCGGTGATCGTTGAGAAGACAGGTACATGGACATTGGACTTGATAAATAGTCTCCACAACTTATGCTGGTACAGTGCTACAGTGTTGCATATCCTTGAGCAGATTGTAGACAAAGGGATGCCTTTAGATAAAAGAAGGAAGGGAAATACGAAGGGTGAGGAATGCTTGTCAGTCACCTAGAACTTTCCATGGCGCGCCGTCGACCTCGACGTTGGTGCCGACCCTGATGTCATTGCTGGAGAGCGCATAAACCCCTGCAAGCAAAGAAATGAGCCGGCCACCACCAAAGGCACTGAAGCAAGACATTGGGCTCCCACACTCAACCTGTAGCGGAAGAAATTGGGAGCGGAAGGAAGAAAGGAGGCCGACGAGGAGAGAAGGGGGAGAGGAGTTACTTACTGGTGAAGGAGCGGGAGCGGAGGGGGCGGGAGGGAAGGGGAAGGCGATGGAGGCGGAGGGAGGCGGTGGCTGTCGCGACGCCGTGGTGGTGGTAGGTGGGGCCGGCGGCGAGGTGGCGGAGCGCGGCCATTCCTTCCTTGCTGCGTCCTCTGCAGCCCGGGCGTGAGCTGCTGCTTGCGTTGCGATAAGGTGTGGAAGAGGGAACAGAGTAGAGAGACAAGTGTTCGCAGGCAGATGGAGGATTGGGCTGGGCCAGCCTGTGACGAGCCCGGTATACACTTGTAGCCCATCATCGTAGAGGCCCAAAGTTGTGTTGGGGCTCATTTGGATGGTGGTTTTTTTTTTAAAAAAAGGTTTGGATGGTGGGTTAGGAAAATGGAAAAAGGTCCAACTTACTCCCAGGTATATGAATAGTGTTCAGGCTAAACTAATTTGATGTTCTTTTTTCAGTTGGCCCATCTTTCCGTTAGCAGGATTTGTTCTTTTTACTTTTTTCATGTATAATAAGTTGAGTTTTAAGTTAGGGTGACAGAGAATATCATAACTTAAAGTTTTAAACCTCAACTTGTATATATTTTTTAAAATAATAGAACAAAGTTCCAGCATTACCATCCACAGATGGTACACAGATGAGAATACACACCAGAGCCATAGGGCTTGCATGTCCATAAGAAAACATGGCTCGGCCCATCTAACGACCGTACCAAACAAAGAAAATGATCTAATCCTCATTACGATTCCTAAAGTTCCATCCAAACTTTGCAAAGACAGCCAAAATCAGTAGCTCCCAGCTTCCGCACCACTACTGGAACAACGGTCGCTTCTCTTCTCTATACAAAATTGACCACTAGCAGATCCAAAACGCCACCCTAAAAATTACCTGTGCAAAAGTGTTAGATTTATCCTTGTTAAATACCATATCATTTCTACTCAACCATATTTCCCAACAAAAGTGCGGTAGCTCCTACCAAAGTTTGGTTTCTGAGTTTAGGACTTAGTCCATACAGCCAAGAACCAAACAAATTGGCAAAGCTAGCTAGCAGGTGGTTGAATTCCAAAAGTGAGGTTTACAATATTCCAAACAAAAGCTTGCGAGTGACAGTCAAAGCACACCTTTTGGATAGTTTCAACGAAACTACCGAGGCAACATTTCACTTACCATGAATTTATAATTCATTTAAGAAGGATAATTCGTAACTTAAATCGATGGACTTGCCGTCTTGGCGGCCGTCGCGACCAGTCCATGCATGGCCCCTGCCCGGTCGCCGATTCCACGTCCACGGACTTCACCGCACGTGGCCACCAGCCCACCACACAACACGATCAGGCTAGGGAGGATGCGTCCGCGTATGCAGTATGCACACGCTGCCTCCCCGTACTTTTGGTTTAGTGAATCGGCCGGCCCATTCCCAGTCCCAGTCCATGGTCTCGAAAGCAGCCATTTGATTTTGACGAGAAAAAGAAGAAGATAAAAGGTGGTTACCACTTTCTTCCACGTGGATGGACTCGCGGGAAACCCTGGTTCAGAAATTCCACCACGTGTGCCCGTGCCAATTGACTTGACGACTCCGTGCCAATTGTACTGTATGATATGATCTCTTTCTCCTTTGACAATTCTGTTATCCCGGCGACCTTGAGACCAAGGAGTGCTCCGGTGACGCAATTAGCGACTTTTACTAGTTGGTGGTCGGATCCAGGAAAAATTTTAGGGGTTGAATAAACAAACCATCGATCTTAAGAGCCACTTAACTTTGACTAGATCATCTACTAGTGCTAATAGTGGATCCGCCCTGGTGGTAGTATTGATTGACCCAAATAAACCATCGATCTTAAGAGCCTGATCAATCCCTATAAATAATTAGCTAGCTAATAGCCAGTACTCTCTTCGATCCAAACGGTAAGTCATCCTGGCTTCTCTAGATATATAATTTTATCATATATATCTAAATAATGTATATGTGGTAGGTCTGTTCTTCGATTCAAAAAACAAGTAAGTCATCGCTTGCTTCTCGATTGATTGTTAGAGATAAAATTTTATTTATATAAAAAAATAATGTAAAAAGACGGATATATATAAGCGTTAAAAACTATATACCTAGAAGCTAGAATAACTTACAGTTTAGAATAGATAGAGTAGCCATTGTAGTTAGCTAATTATTATTATGGATGATATTTATTCTAGCACCTTCATTTGTCATTTCTCGTCTTGGGATGAGGACAGAGGATACCTTATACACTAATGTTGATGCAGGCCAGACCAGGCACGATGATATCAAAACCGCACAACATCTATATATATTCCATCCATACAATGATACAAACAAAATTAAGTGCAGGCAATGCTATGCAGTTGTTTTGTTCTACACTATTTTATTTATTATTCTAGCTAACTCTAGGATCATATTTTTGGCAGAAATAACAAATACTATTTGTTTGTTTTATTTCCCCGGCCGCCTTTTGAATACAAATAAATGAAAAGAGAGTGCCGGCTTTCACCAGCCACTGATATATATTACCACTTGTGTTTAGCTTTAGGTAGAGAAGAGGGGACGAGAGGTCGAAGACGACGTTATTTTTTTATAGCAGTCAATCACACACTGGGACTGGGGTGATTAGGACAGGCCGGCGTTTCAATTTCAGTTCAACAAAGGGATCGGACCTGCTGACGGTACCTGCACCGCATGCTAGCTTTTGTCCCTGCCTGCCTAGTACATATACCACTGTGTAGTAACTAGTATACCAGTATATGTATGCATGTATGTATGTATGCATGCATGCATGCCCTGTAGTGCTGGTGCAGCTACCAGTTACATATATCTACAGAATTGTCTAATGATCTCTCACCTGAATGTGTTGGCCCGTTCCATCATACTACCAACCAAGGGACGGAATCTGTGTATCTGTTGCCCTGTTCCATTCAAGTAACGTCATCATCTGCCCATCACTTGCCATTGGTTCTCTTCTCTCCGCTGCTACCTCCTCCTACTCCGCTACTTCGAAAAGGCTATTGAAAAAAAAAGGCTACAATTTTAGAATATTGCTAAGTCAAACGATTTAAAATCTAATCAAAATTTTAAATAATAATAATAATTATCATGCTAAAAATTAGGCAAATTCACTTGAATACCGTAATTAGTTTAGTAATTAGAGGGGATACATTAAGGAAAATTGCAACCTTAGGGGTGGTGATTGCCCCCCTTTCCTCTACCACTGATTAGATTCATCACGAAATCTACTTTTATAGTATATTTATTCAGAGTAATATGAAGTTATGTTGATAATATTTATTATAAACTTAACAAACTTAGATAGTTTGACTTTCATGAGACCTTTTTTGTTTTTGAGACGGAGGTGTGGTAATAATAAAAAAATAGAGCCCATGCATGCACCTTCCAGTCAAATGAATAGTCGCTCCATATTTCAGGAAAAAACATTGGGTGGGGACTATCCCGACCAGCATCCATGGGTGTGCACTTACTGTGGATTCATGACACGTGTCAGTGCATAATCAAATCAAATGTATGGGATTATGGATGTCTGGTGGGGATATATAGTCCTCATCCAATTCTTTTTCCTTCAACAAACCTGTACGCATGCGTGTGTAGACATATGAGAGCTTGACTAATTTTAATTGGTTGTTGGGAAGACGAAATAAAAAAGGTTATGCCCTGTTCGTTTGGATGATAAACTGTGATAAAAAATACTATTAATTGATTTATTATGAGAGAAAAATACTGTTCATTCGCTGAAAAAATACGACTTATAAACCAAACAACAGCAAGTTAGTCGTCGTCGCTGCAAGTTGAACAGTTGTTGTTGGCTGGCCGCACCATACACCTACCACTCCCGTAGTCCCGTCCCGTCTGGCCTCTCCCGGTCCTATCCCTAGCGCTAGGGGAGTTCGTTGTCAATCGATCGATGGAATTATTAGGTCCCAGCCACCACCTCCCTTGCTCGTTTCCTGCCTCTCCTCCTACCTAACCTGTCTCACCCTTGCAACTGGCTCAACTTGCAACAACAACGCACATATATACACGAGCACGTACTAGTAGCTCCATCCCACACTCTTTTTATTGCATCCCCTCTCTTCCTTCCTGCACTTACCCTACCCAGCTACCTCTCCTCTCCTCGGAGTAGCAGCTAGCAGCGTCACCACAAGAGCTCAACTCTTCTTCTTCCTTGCTGTGTTCTTCTACTTCTATCTATCTACCTCAGTTCCTCACTCGCATCCCTGCTTGCCGTACGTCGTCCTCGCTCCACACCAAGCGAAGAGTAAGTACATCGTCTATCGTCTTTCCATTATTCCCGTTCTTGTTTCATCGTATGGCGAGACATCGTGTGACCAATACGTGCCTTACATGCGCAGTGGGCTCGGAGACGGAGACGATCACCTTTGAAGGCATCCCATTCCCGGCGGAGATCACCGCCGGCGGCAAGCCTCTCTCCCTCCTAGCCAACGGCATCACGGACATCGAGATCCACTTCCTGCAGATCAAGTACAACGCGATCGGAGTCTACCTCCACACCACCGACACCACCCTCCTAGGCCACCTCGGCGCGTGGAAGGGTAAGACGGCGGAGGAGCTCCTGGCCGACGCCGCCTTCTGGTCCGCCCTCGTCTCGTCCCCCGTCGAGAAGCTGCTCCGCGTGGTGGTCATCAAGGAGATCAAGGGCTCGCAGTACGGCGTGCAGCTGGAGAGCTCCGTCCGGGACCGCCTCGCCGCCGCCGACCTCTACGAGGACGAGGAAGAGGAGGCGCTCGAGAAGGTGGCCGAGTTCTTCCAGTCCAAGTACTTGAAGCCGGGCTCCGTCATCACGTTCCATTTTCCCGCAACTCCGGGGCCCGCCGAGATCACCTTCGTCACGGAGGGCAAGGGCGACGCCAGGATCACGGTGGAGAACGAGCACGTCGCCGGCATGATCCAGAAGTGGTACCTCGGCGGCGAGAACGCCGTGTCTCCCACCACCATCCGCAGCCTCGCCGACCGTTTCGCCGCGCTGCTCGCCGTCGCTGCGTGATGATATATATGATGCTCTGCCTTTTCCGATCCGGCCGGCTGATGGAAGTGCAGTGCGTTGAGTTCTTGAATGTCCGTCCTGTAGTACGTGGTGTCTCGTGTGTCGTTCGTT